CCAAAGTATTTGAGTTTCATCTCAGCATCTGGCCTTCTAAAGAGCAGTCAGGGTTGATCTCCTCTAGGACTGACCGGTTTGATCGCCTTGCGGTCCAAGGGACTCACAGGAGTCTCCTCCAGCACCACAATTCAAAGGCCTCAGTCCTTTGGCGCTCAGCCTTCCTTATGGTCCAGCTTTCACAGCCATACATTGCAAGCTAGCCTCTTAGAGGAGTGAAAAACTTAAGAGCAGTGAAAAATTGGAGGCGTGTTGAGTGTGTAAGCCCCACTGACCACACACACACACACACACACTTCTTCCCATTGATTGCAGTGGGTCTGGTCATGAGTCGGGGCATGGCCTAAACCCCACTGACTAGCGGGGCAGGCCTACTTTGGCCGTGCCTGCTGAGCTGGAGTGAGCGCACAGGTGAGTTGGAGCCCCTTCCTCCGCTTGCAGGCCCAGCGGATCTCCGCGAAGGACGCGCTGTCTCACCCCTACCTGGACGAGGGCCGGCTGCGCTACCACACCTGCATGTGCTCCTGCTGCTTTTCCGTCTCCTCAGGCCGCGTCTACACCAGCGACTTTGAGCCCCGGGCTGACCCCAAGTTTGATGGCTCTTATGAGAAGAACCTCACCTCCGTCTGGCAGGTCAAAGGTAGCCGACCTGGTCCCAACCAGGACTTCTTCTTGCAGGGACTCCAGTGGCTCTGCTCTCCATTCATTCTCTGGTTTATTCATTAAAATGTCTCTCCTGCCTTCCTGCACCGATCTCCTGAGGCAGCTGATGACAATGACGGCACACACAGTGGCAACAGAAACGATAGAACAAGCAGGTCGGAAGTATTCAGGTTAAATGAATTCCAGCAAGGATTATCTTAGCTCTTCCAGGCAGTTTAGCGCTTGCTCCCTGTAAGTAAATCATACTGTTGTGTACTCAGCAAAGCCTAAATGCAGCTCCTAGGAGGTAAGCCCCCTTGGAGACAGGCTGGGGTTGCACCACATGGCAAGGCTTGCTGTGCAGCAAGCTCTGCGGTGCAGGTTAGAAGCCGCTCTGCCCCCGAGGCACCCGACAGCCGATGGGGCACGGTGTGGTCGCCGTCTCCTCCGCCCCACAGTCCTCCCGTGGGTCACTACAGGAAGAACAAGGCTTTCCCCTCACCTTAGCCATTGCTGGGAGCCCGTTTGTGCTTGCTGCAGCTTTCCCCACTTTTCCCTGTCAAGCCGAGTGTCGTGATCGGCATGTGGGCAACCCTGTGCATTAGCTCCAAGGTGCCCTGGGGGGACGATGGAGGGGCTGCCCCTGGTTGCCCACACTGGTTTTCTGTTTTGTTTCGATTTTTGTATGCACAGTTTTTTTAACATTTAGGCAGCAGCAATTAAATCAGCATAATCACATTAAAGCCAATTCATCATAAATAACAAGGATATCATGGCACTTTGGATTCCATGTACTTCCTCTGTGGAAACTCTTCATACATAGACTGGGTTTATTTATTATTTTTATATCCCACTTTTTTTCCTTTCAAGGAACTCAAGGCAGCATACGTAATTCTCCTCCTACTCTCCAGCTTATCCTCACACCAACAACCCTGTGAGGGAGGTTGGGCTGAGAGTCTGTGACTGGCCCAAAGTCAGCCAGTTGGCTCCATGGATGAGCGGGGACTGGAACCCCGATCTCCTGAGTCCGAGTCCCACACTCTCAGCCACTGCACCACACTGGCTCTCAAATGGATTTGAGCAGCTATGATGGCCTCTGTTTTTCTGAGTAACACACAGTAAAAACACAGAATGACATGCATGCAAGCTAACAAACATGCTCACCTCTTACATGTGCTATGACTTGTCATTTTTTCATTAGGTTGTGGGCTTCTACTTAGGCCATTTTACTGTCTAAGCGTTTCAGTGACAAAATTGTAATTAGTGAGTTCTTTTACTCACTTATTTGGTTTTATTTTTTAACTTTACTTTAACATAACCATTTCATAGAATTAAAACTACAAGAACAAGTAACAGGATTAAAAATAAAAATGCCCAACATCACAGGGGCAGAGTAAAGCTGAATTCAGCCTCTGTTTAAAAGGTCTGCCAAGATGCAGAAAAGGCCTTTGGAAGGATATAAAACAGGCACCAAGCAAACTTTTCTGGGGAAGGGAATGTCCCAGGGATGAGGCAGAAGAAGTCTCCTCACCTCACTTAGAAGGCATCCAGGGAGAGATGCCTGGTGTAGGAGCCTAGGAGGCTGCCTTAAAGCCAAGTCAGAGCCTGGTCCAGCTGGCCCAGATTTGCAACACCAACGGCAGCAGTGGCTCCCAGGTTCCAGGCACGGTTCTTCCTGAGTGCTCCTACCTGGAGAGTCAGCCTGCAACTTGCCGGTTGGGCTGATGCTGCAGCAGGTGAGCTATGGCAGCAGCATGTGGGCAAAGATGCCCTTGGGTGCGTCTGGTCCCCAAGGCTTGTGGAGCTGGAAAGTCAGCACCAGAGCCTGGGAAGAGACTGGCAGCAGCTGCAAAGCCATTTCACACCTGGCCAGGTGTGCTTGCTCTGGTTGCTCCCTGTGAGCAGTCTGTTCACCTGCATTTTGGCCTGACGGAATTTTTTGAGATGTCTGAAAAGGATGGGGAGGAGTAAAATCTCACTCTCCTACATTTAGGGCAAAGATTGGCCCTACCGGTCCATTAAGAAGTTAAATAACGCTTTTAGAAAGCTAAAAGGATCTGTTTGACGATAGGGAAAGAAAAGAGTGTGGGGTGAAGGTGAGTAGGGTATGAAAGGTAGGACAAATGGAGGAGGAGGAGGAGAAAGGTGAGACTGAAAAGGTTTCTACTTCAATTTCAGAATTGGTGCATCGGTTTATCCTGGACCAGCAGCGGGGGAAACGAGTTCCCCTCTGTATCAACCCCCAGTCGGCTGCCTTCAAAACCTTCATCCGGTGAGTGTGAGATGCAGCTCCTTGGCGGACAGACTTCCCCACACGCTGGGCACCTGCCACTTCACCCGTGGCCTTCTGGCTGTGCCTGAGGAGGTGTGATTATGAAAAGCTTTTTCCTCTCCCCTCTTCTTGACAGTTCCACAGCATGGCACTCCTCCAAAGTCTCCAAAAAGGAAGAAAGATGAAGGCACCTGTTGGGCAGCTGTGGGGAAAGGAAGGAGGAGGGAATGAGAGAAGAGCAAGCAAATCAGCCTCTCCAATAGGAGACAGAGAAAAAGGCAAAGAGAAGAAAAAGGGAGCCACTCTTCTTAATCTTGCACTCTTGAATCTTTTGACTCATGGACAGACATTTGGGGTGGGGACGGGGAAATGTCTGTGTCTTTTTTTAATTAATGTTATTATTTGTGGGGGTAGGGTTGGAAAGGGATTAATTTTTGCATTGATCGATGTCTTTCCCCTCCACCTTTACTGTTCTGCACTGGAAAACCCTTTAGGTTGTAGTTATCCTCCTTGTGCAACCCTTTCCACTTTCACTCCCCCAACCGCCCCCCCCCCCGCACTGTTCCTTAGCACTCCTCTGTTGTCCCTCTCGTGGCCGAGTTTTCCTTTCTTCCATAATCCTGTGCCTGGGGCTGCATCTTGCCACCCCAGCAGGGCAAGTGACACTGGAGTGAGTTTGCTTTCCTGAATATATTTTGACTTTGTTTCTGGTCCAGCCCCCACTATCCAGTCTCCTTCTGGTGTCCTTTTGAATTCTTAGAAACAATGAATACCTCTTTTCCTTCCTCGGCCATCGTGTCTCCTCTCTCTGCAAGGTGCCCTCATACGTGGTAGCGTTTCCTAGGTCCTTTGCGATGCTGCAAAGAAGACTGGGGGAAGGGAGAAGTGGTACCCAGTTTCCAGACCTATATCCATTCAGTTTCAATAGCCAGAGATGTTGGGAATATAGGAAGCTGCCTTACACCACAGCAGACCTTGGTCCATCTGCCCCAGTCTGGTCAGCCCCTACAGACAGCAACCATCCAGGGTTTCAAGCAGGGTTCTTTCCTTGTCCTACCTGGAGATGTCAGAATTCGCATCAGGGACCGTCTGCATGCCAAGCATGAGTTCTACCACGGAGCCACAGCCCCTCCCAGCTAAACTGCTCCCTTCTCCCCCCCCCACCAACTATGCACGTTGCATTTCTGCCACTCCCTGCAGCCATAAAAGAGGGCTCGGGAAACAAGAACGTTGAATGAAATTTTGCAAATGGCAGGAAACAACCCTTGGGAGGACGCAGGTTGAATTGGGCCTGGTGGGGTGCTTTACCCTTTGCTCATCCACCTCTCCGGTGCTCCACATGCCACCCCCAACCCTGTAGCCTCCACAGAAGCCCAGCAGAAAAATGGCTGACGGGGGGAAGCCGCCCACAAACCGGCTGCCAAGTTTCTGCTCCAGTTGCCATTTCTGAAGGTGGACCTGGAGCAGCAGGGTGAGTGGGGAAGCACTGTTTGGTTTTCATGGAAAATTCAGTCAGGCCATTGGAGGTCCCAAAAGTCGCCTCTTTCTGCCGCCCTGTTTTCTGACTCCCCAACCCACAGCCAGACAAACTTTCCCATTCTTAGCACTCATCAGTTAAGTTTATTCCTTCATTATTTTCAGATCCCCTCAAAAATATCTACCTCTTTTCTCCTAACATTTTTGTATGCTATTTTGTTTCTGTTTTTATTTTGCCTGAATTTTGTTTTCTCTGTGTGTATGTGTTACTTCTGCTGGTGGGTGTTTCCCTTTTGTCGGTTGCCTTTATTTATGTTTACAGCAGTTTTTATATACTTGTTCAAATCCTGAGCGTGCGCGCGCGTGTGAGTAAATATTTTTCTCCTAATCCCTGAAAAAAGACCCTCCCCAACCAACAACCTGGAAACTTGAATTGTCTTGGCTGTAATAATCCCCCTATCCCCTAATTTAATTGTGCTCCATGGTAGTTGAATTAAATTTATGCTGTGTATTTTTCTCCTGTGAAGTGCTTTTGATTTTCATTCTTTCTCTGGAATGCAAGGCCCCTGTTCTGTTCTGGCCATTGGGTGGCCATACATTATCACCAGGATCTGGTTTTGGGTGCTGAAAGGGAAGCTGGGTGGGTGCCGACCTGCAGAGTTGCAGGAAGTGCTTTTTCGTGCCTTCCTGCCTCACGGGGCGTACTCAGGAAATGATGCGCCTTCACCACATCCTTTCAGCACTGTGAAAGATGACCCAGCCTTTCCTCTGTTGTGGATCTCCTGCAAGGCAGCAGTGACCTCCACAATGCATTTTGGGATTCGAAAACCAAGGGACCCAGTGCTGACTTAGGTACGGGAGGTGAGCTGTTACTTTTCCAGGTCCTGTGCTTTCTTTCCCCTTCCCACACCCCTCAGTTGGTTTCCTGCGATGAGTTGTTCTCTCTTGAACGGACCTACCCCTGATCAGAAAGGGGCACTCTGCCCACGGGGAGGGGGGGGCAAATCTTAGAATCACAATTAGTGCCCCCCCTTAGATCTCACTCTGGATCCCTGGGGTCCTGTTTTTACCCCTCAGACAGTCTCACACCAGGTGCCCTGAGTGAGGGGATGGGAATTAAGAGGAAATGGTGCCCAAAGGCCTACAGAGCAGGAAAACTTCAAAATTAGCTCACAGCAATTTAAATTGGAACTGCTTGGTGCTCCATAGTGCTGCAGACACATTTCTGTGCTAAAAACAATACTTTGTAGGGCACCCCACAATCGGGGCATGTAGGCCATGGTCCATCTGTTCCCCAGCCTTGCCGTGGTGTCTTAGTGATGTGTGTGGGGCGGGGGGGGGGCACCCACTAGACCTGCCCACCTGGGCAGCCCCTGAAGGTTTTCATGGGTATCCTGTCCTCCTGTCTAGGTGGCTCCTAAGTTCGATCACGCAGGGGCTGCAGCGTGTGCCACTGTTTGGCAGGAGCACAATGAACGGCAGAGGAGCCTCCTCTGGCTTCATGCCTTCCAGATGCCTTGAAGTTCGACTCCTGTAATTTTTGTGGCCAGAGAAGAGGGCAATCGCAGTCCCGGCACCTAAGGAGGGCACAGGGTTGGGGAAAGCTGGAGCAGAATGGGGCTCGGGGGCCCAGTTCAGCTGCCTTAGCATCTCTCGGCTTCCTTTTTAAAAGACGAATAAAAGCCATGTCCTGCTCGGAGGGGGACTGTGCGACTCTTGCAAAATGGGCTGAGTGTGGGGATTCTCAGCTCCTTGCTCCACTCGGGCTGGCAGGAAGAAAATTCGGCAAAGAAGCCAACGATGCCGTTTGCATGGTTTCTCAGAGCTGCTAACTTTAATTTGTCATTCCCTCCTGCCCAGTGCTGGCTCCAAGCCCCCCTCCCCCCAAGTTGCCTTTCTCACTTCTGTCTTCCACAGCTCTTGCCCCACCGTGTGTTTTTCCTCCTTGCAACAGCAGAGGCCGATGAGCAATGAGGCAGCGGCATTTCCAGTTCCTCCTTCGCATGGCTGCCAGGGCCAGAGCGAGGGGTGGGTGAGCAAGCCTGTTGGCAGTGGGGCAGCCCCAGGGGCTTTTGGCAGGGGCCCCTGCTGGAGTGTGGGCCCTCGGCAGTGCCCCAGTCATGCCTACCCTTGATGCTGTTCCTGGAAGTGTGGCTCCAGCACCCTGAGAGCAAAGATCAGGCATTTCGGTGCTTTCCTCTGGAGACCTTGGGGAGGGCCCCCCATCTATCCTGAAAAGGGATTTTAACCCAGAACTGCAGAGCTGGGCTGTGCCCACGGCAAAGTGCCCAGTGCTGGCTGCAAGCTGCTGAGGGCCCCTGGGCAAGTCGTCCTCATAGCTCCCTCCCTCAGTAAGCCTCCCTCTCATCGCTGCTGTCGGCAGCCACAGCTGCTCCTCGGGCTTTTTCTCACCATCGCTACCACTTGTTTGGCAGGCAGAGAGCCAAGGAGTGAGGAAGCAGCAGCTGGGCCTTTCCACCACTGTCCTGGCCTGGGCCGTGGGAAGAAGCAGGTGAAGAAGCAGGTTTCCACGGCGAGGAGAAGGAGCAATTCCAGGGGGCCCTTGTCACCTGCAGCGGGTTCCCCACCATGCCTACCCTGGACGTCCACCTTCACTCCACTCACCTGTGATCATATCAGGAAGAAAGCCAGCCAAAGCGCTCACTTGCCCCCTCGCTTTCTTCATAGCTCAGGCTCTTTCCAGGAAACCCCCCTAACTCTGGGTGCTGCTTTGGCCCGGCCCAGCCCTGTGGTCTGCCTGGTGCAGTCTCAACGGCGTGGCCCCCTGTGTGTGCCAGGATGCCTTTGCCCACCACTTCCTCCCTACTCAGCGACTGCAGCAACTGCTTGTTGATCATGGTCAGCCTCGCCTTCGTGGCAGGCGTGTTTATCGTGATCTCGGCCATCCTCTGTGAGCGGCTCTTCCGTGGGTCCCACCACTCCAAGACAGGGAGGGTGCCCTCAGTCTGGAGGCAGGGTGGGACATTGTGGATTCAGCCCACCAAGAAACAAAGGGAGCCAGATGTCCTCTCGAGGTCACCCGAAGTGGCCCCGCTCTGGATCCAGCGTTCTAATGACTGGTTTCGGGAGGTTTCCTCAGCAGAATCTGAGAGCTGTGCTTCCTCCGAGGGCGTCCAGAGAGAATTCTACAGCCCAGGCAGCACTTCCCCTCTTTGGGGCAACGGAGAGGCTCTGTGGGGGCTCCAGCCACACGTAACACTGCAAGACCTTCGGGGCTTCTTTCAGCACAGCGGCCGGCACCCCTAGGGCGTTCCATTGCAGTTTCCATTGAAGAACCCCAGGACTGGCCGCCCTCACCGCTCCTGCTCGGACTGGCCACGGAAGAGGAAGAGCACGCCCCAGCCGCCACACCCGCTTGTACATGGGGGCTGACTGGCCTGGCGGCTGAGCCGTCTTCATTCAGAGGTTATATTCTTTTCGGCGCCAGGCAAAAACCTTTTTCTTTGTCCATTATTTTAATATTTAATCATTTTAATCAGGTTTTAACATTGTTATGCTCAGTATTGTACCTTGTTGTGATTTATTTATTGTTGTAAGCTGTCCCGGGGCATCTCGGAAAGGACAGGGTACAAATATTGTTAATAAAATAAATAAAAATTCCTGCCCTTCCATCGCCCCCTGTGGTAGAAGCCTAGTTGAGGAGGCCCGGTCGGTTTGTGTGGCCACCTCCCTCCCAAATGTGAGAAGCTCAAGGGCATTGTGGGATATGAGGTGCAAGCATTTACCTTTAGGAGCTTGTGCTGGGGAAGGAGGAAGAGAGAGAGAGAGTCAAAAGGGGCACGAAGACAGTTCTAGAGAGTTCTGGCTGGTGCAAACATGTGTTCGTAACGGGAACATCTGGAGCAAAGAGGTGTGTTTTTTCAAGGGGTGGTTGATCTGGGGCAGAGAAGGAGTAGCTGGAATGTCAGTTTCTAGAACAAAGAAACAAGAAACCTATAAGCTTTGCTTCATGGTATCAAAAAACTTATTAAAAGCTTTCCAGATCACCTCATTCTGTGTCTCTCCCACAAAGGAGCATCAAAGGGTGGAGTGGGACCGGGTTCTGTCTATCTCTTACAGAGGGCAACCCCGAAGGAGCACTTTTCTTCTTCGTAAAAACTCTGGAATTTCCCTCTCTCAATGGGAGGGGATTCAGGTTGGCGTAGTTTTCTGCTTTGTTTGGAGCATGTCAAGGAAATTATGTCTCTGAAGAAGGCCTTAGTCCAGTCACTGTCTGTTAGCCTGATCTATCTAGCAAGGTGGTTTAGAGGATAAAAGGAGGAGGCGAGATGCACACCTCTATATTAGGGGCGTAGAACGTACTGCAGCCCAAGGGGAAACTGTTAAGGGCCACAATCCAGTGGGCCAGGGAAGGCAAAAGCAGCCAGACCCAATGATCTCAGCACATGCTAACCCAAAGCTCTGCCTGTTGGCCACTGAATCTTCCGGAGAAGCATCTCAACCTTTTATAATGAGGAAAAGTCTGCTCTGAGGTTGGGAAACTACCAAATGGGCCTGTTGCAGCCGGGGTCTAGTCTGGGGAAGGGGTGGTGGGCAGACGGTTAGACCTGACTCGCGGGCCTGGAGTTCTGCACTTCAGTTGCAGGGCCTCACCCACATGCAGCTTGCCTCCCCGCAACGACTCCACATCTGCGCTCCGCCAGTGGGACACTCCTGCTGGGACAGCCAAGGAAGCAGAAATGTCCTCCCCCTCCAGAGAGTGCTCTCCATAGGTAGCTTCCCTGTTTTGTCCCACAGAGGGGGAGGACCAGAGAAACCACCATTCCCCAGGATGCTCTCTGGGGAAGTGTGGGATGGTTGCTTTCATGACAAGTTTGGGGACGTCTTAGACACAGAATCTCTGCAATGCTCCTGAGGCATTTCAAATATCTATAACTGAGGGGGTTAGAATGATGTGAATATGGTTAGCTGCTCTGGCTCTCTTGTGCTAATACAATGGAGTACAGAATGTTGTCCATAAAGAAATAATAAATTGGCCTCCAGGAATCATGGTTGTGTGCTCTGTTTGGGGGCTGAAGCAACTCCAAGGACTGGGATGAGTAGCTCTGGAGGCTGCAAGGGAGAAAAGTTGCTGGGATCTTGGGATCACCCCAGGACCTGCTGTGGAGATCCGAGGAAGTCCCTATATAAACCAGGTCTGTGCTTTCCATGGAGTCTGTATTCAGCTTGTTGTGTCCCTCGGAGAAAGAAACAGCTGTCAATGCTGCAGCCTTCCCCAACTGCACATCCCCCAACTGCATTCAACTTCAACTCTTATCATCCCCAGCCAGCATGGAACATGGTACAGAACCTTCTGTAACTATACTGAATTGGGCATGTGCTTCACACACTTGCACAGCTGTATTATCTGGGCTTAGGGGTCACTCCCTCAAACTACATATCCCACTCCTCTGTTCCCTACTGGCCTAATTAGAACTGGGACAGTACTAGGGTCTCCTCATTTCCTTTGAAAGAAACCCAATTCCTCTACCTCCCTGCCCAAGAACCCCATCAACATCCTCCACATAATGCAGGGAACGGGGGCTCTTCCACCAGTCTTGCTGAACAATGGCTATTTCCACACCTCCTTTCCTCCTTTTTCCTTGTGTCCTGTCTTTTCAGACTGTGAACTGAGACTGTCTTGTTTTTACTAATTATATGCAAGCTACTGTAGGAACCTTTGGGCTGAAGAGCACGGAAAAAATACCTTAACGGCAAAACCACATGCCTGTGTAGGTATAAAACAGTCCTACAACTCTCAGTATCCCTAGTTGTAATTCCCCAGGGAAATGTAGGAATGTCAAAACATGCATAAGATTGCACCTTAAAGAAATTAAACACAAATGTGCATATTCTATCACATCCTTGAATACACATAAAATAAAAGATCTGGATAAACTCATAACTTTTGTTTCTTCCACCAGAGCCCAAGCCCCAGCATAGCTCTTGCTGCATCAGCTTTGCTTTCCCTCTACCACTTAATTCCATCCAATAGTCTTTGAAGGTGAGCTATTATCAGGGAGTCCCAGACTGTCGGTTCTCTTGTTTCGATTCCTTGCCGCCTGTTACTCTGCATGACTTCAACCTCTTTTCCCTCCTCCTCCTCTTGAATGGCACCCTGACATGTCAGACTGAAACTGGTGAAAATGTTTCCCCCTGCCACTCTGCCTGACGCACATCATGCTATCTCTAACGCCAGAAGGAGTGTTGCCGGTGAAAACTGCACATTTGAAACCATTTTTAAAGGTCAGTGATAAAGTTACTGTCCCAGTTCTGAGTTAGGTCTCCTTGTGCACAAGCAAAGATCATGTGACATTCCTGGGTCACTGGAGGTAACTGGAGTATTGCCAGCAGTCTCACCGGAATAAGCTGTAAAAGAAGCCAAAAGCATTTCCAAAAGTGAAGAAGAAGAAATATAGATCCCGACCAACAGTTAAGATCAGTCAAACCAGGTCTTAACGACAGCAGTAATTTGACGACCACTTTATTCTTGACTGCTTTTACACTTTCCCCTGCATTCTGTTGTAGGGGTGAGATTTTTGTCTGCCTGCCTGATATCCTACCCCATTAGCCAAAATAATGGTGTACAGGGGAAAAATTACTAAATGAAAACTTCGCAGGACATCCTGCTAAGAGAAAGAAGTTGACTTTCTCTTAAGAATATGCCTGCAGATTTCAACCCGAACCTTGCAGCCAAAATGATCTGCACCAAGGAATTCAAGGTTCAAGAGTAAAACCCCTCAGCAGATGCCACTTGGTGTGTTTGATGCTGTATTCCCTGTTCTCAAAGATCTTGCATGGCTGACAGCTAAAACATATTCAACAAATAATGAGGAAAAGGTGAGAGAGCTTTAGCTATTGGGCACTATAAAAATGAAAGAAATAAATATCATCTTGAACTGCATTCAGCCAGTGTCTGGCAGAAGATTACAAGCCTAAATCAACACAGTTACCCCTTTTCCTGACACACTGTGGATGGTTCCGATGAGATGCCAAATGATTGCTTGCCAATGTTAGCAACTGTGCACTGTAATAACAGTCGTTGAAGAGTTGCGTTCTAAAACCCAGCAGCTGTTGGTTATTTCATCTGGGTGAAACCAAAAATGTTCTAGTATGGTGGCGGGGGTGGGGGGGGGGTTCATATATTGTACACTTTATCTTCCCTAAGGAATCATTCTGCAGGCTCTAGCTGGAGACTGCTGGGAGGAAAACTGAAGCTGGTTTCAGAAGATGCCATTATGGATGAAGAAGGTTAAGGGAAACCCTCTAACCCAGGGGTCTCAAACTCGCGGCCCACGGGCCAATTGCCGGGACGGGTTGGGCATGGGGGAAGGGCCCTGCGGCCTTCAAAGCGCCGGTGGCGCCCGGACTGGCCTCCAGGAGCGACACGGGATGAGCGGCCCACCACCACCGCGGTGGTGGAAGACTTGATGCGGCCCAGCCTCACCCAGACTCTACTTCCAGTGGCCCCCAGGTAAGTTGAGTTTGAGACCCCTGCTCAAACTGCTGTGGAATTGCTCATAAGATTACCTTTGAGACTTTGTAGCATGCTCTAATTAATACGACAGTTCTTCAAAAAGTTTCCGCACTTTTCAAAACACTATTAAGAATTTCAAAAACAAATTACATCACTTTTCTACATAGTCACCTTCCTTTGTGATACATTTTTCCCAGTATCATACCAACTTTTAATGCCATCAGCAATATATATATAAAATGTATTTATAAAATATAAAAGTGCAGAAACTTTTGGAAGACCCCTTGTAGTCTGAAAGCATGGCTTTTGAGCGGCAACAAAAATATTTACTTTGAGGCCATTGAAACATTATCAGAAGGTATTTGTGGGAGTTTTAGGAATCAATCTTCTGGTGGAACAGAAATACCTTCTATAGCTATGAAAGACATCACACTTCTGTTGAAAAAATTCACAGATGAAAACTCACACAACTACAACTCTAGATACAGCTGCTGCATTTGAGCCCTGCAAGCATTCTTTGGACCTTGATTAAAGGCAGAATATGAAGGTAGTTGAGTCTGGGAAATACTCTTTGCCTCCCTTGACCATGTCACAGATGTGCAGGGGGTTTCTCTACCGACGAACTGATTTTAAAAAAGATCTTGGACTGTGCTGAAATGGACAGATTGACTCTGTCTCTGAAGGAGAAAGAAGATACCGACTTCTATCAAACTTGGAATTCCTTGTATTATTGGCTAGAGAAATGGGATTATGCATAGATTTAAATATGTTTACGGATTATCATAAAAAGAAAAAATATGGGGGGCTGACCCAGTAGGTTTGATGCTCTCAATGACTATTTTTTAGTTTCTTTTTGTTAGATTTGTTACTTAGTAGAAAATAATAATAAAACTTATTTAAAAAAAAGATGTGCAGTGGGTTTCTCTATGCCCTGGTGGTAAGGAACATCTGAAAAGTACTTACCCAAGGGTTTCTTCTAGGAAATCTGGAGTCCAGGATACAGAAAAAACCCTCCTGCACATAGCAACTGGCCAAGTAATACTGTCAATACTTTCAACATCTTGACTGTATCAGAACAATGAACCAGTGAGATTATAATACAGTGCACCAGAAAACAATCAAAATGACCATCACTAGTACATCCATTTTATACATTTTATAGATCTGAAATGGTAAAAATTTGAAAAAGTTGCATATATTTTAAAATTTCAAAGATGGGTATATTCTTTAAACATGCATGCAATATCTACATAGACAGGTTTTAAAATAGAAAACGCTTTGGTATAAAGCACCAACTTCAGTCGCAAATAAAAGTGTGTTGCAGCCCCACTTAAAAGCTTACCTAGGTCCTGTCAGGAACAAAGCCAGACTTCAGGATGGTTTAGCAATCAGCATCTGTACTCCACAGCTAATCAACTGCATTAATAAGCATCATGGGTTGTCGCTTTCCATCTTTGACACTGATACAGGGTTTCGGCTGATCGATACACATAACCTCCTTACGCTTTCCCCTTGGAGGCGTCACTCAGCCGCCAGCACAAAGACCTTTGCTGCACTTAGTCTGCCTCCTTGGTTCCCACATGGAAGGACTACAGTCTAATATGTGTTTGCATTTCTGCCAAATGTTCTTACATTTCTTTAGGAGAGACCATCCTGATTTCCCCAATATAAAAGGGATTGCATTCCAAACACCCAGTTTTAGAAATACCATCCTTAACTGTACCCTTTCCTTTACTGTTTGTGCTGATAAGGGCATCCTGGTGCCCAGAGCTGCTGCCATTGAGCCTAGACATGACAAGGTGCTTGTTCAATGTTATCAGGGAGGTGCAGACTCCGGACACTTCTGTACTGGTGAAGGTCTTTTGAGTTAAGGCTCTTTTGGACTTTCCATCAAAATCCATCTGCCACAAATGGGATTTTTAAAACAGACCATATCTGTAGGATATTCCTGACAGCTGGAACAGGTGGCCTGCAGCCTATGTCAGTTTTACCATTTTTTTCCTGATGTCTCCACACAAGAACCTGTGGACCCCCCAGTAGCTAAATCTATACAATTTATAAAGTGAATACACTGTAGATGGTCATTATGCTGGTTGTAGGAGTACTGAAGAAGGATTTAGAAATGAGGAGCTAAATTAAGTGTGAGGCAAAACTTTCACGGCAGAGCAAAAATAAGTGCTTCTTTTGTTTCTCATCTTTTGATATTATTTTCATTTCTGATGAAATTTGTAATTAAAATGCTTGCAAATTAAACTAACGGGTATTAGGTAATGATTTCAGAACCAGTGGTAGAAATGCCACCCAGAAAAAAGAGGCTGCCGCATTGTGATGCTGTGTCTACTACAATGATTGGATTTATGACTGGCAAACTCACTTCTCTGTAATTTTAAGGCATACTCTTTAGGAAACAAAGGTTGCTGCTTGTAGCAAACAGAATGTCCCAAACTGATCTCTCCACAACTCTCCTCTCCTCTCGTCTCCTCTCCTCTCACCCTACTACAGCAAATGTTTTCTGTTTCATTATATGTCATGCTAATCCAAGACTTGATTTTGCCTGATGCAGTCTCCAAATTTATTTCCTAGCCCTGATTCTTGGTCAAATTATTTACATCATTTGTGTGTTTAGAAAATATTAAATTCTCAACAAATTAAAATGAGATAAAATCAAGTGCAATGATAAAACCATCAAACGGAATAAGTAGAAAGGCCAAACCACAGCCAGTAAACCACAGAAAAGGTTGGCATATTCACTAGTGGAACAGAGGGTCTTTTAAGGCTTGTTGGAAAAGGGGAAAAGGAGAAGATTCCAGTTTTGGGTGGATCACAACAGGGTTCATCATCCCCAGGCCCTCTCCATGTCAGTTGGAGGAAAAGAGTGACTTCAAAAGACAACCCCCTCACATACACAGAGAAGATACTCCTTTGTGGAGTGATAAGAGACAGACTTGCACGCAGAGATAAGCTCTTGACAGTTTTGAGAAATATTACTTTAATCCTGCAGCTGTACAGACAACGGAGACGGTCTTTACTGCTCTTAATACCACCCGGAAACCAGATCATTGCCTGGTACGGTAAAGGACCCCCTTCCTGCCCACTGCTTCCTTGAGCTCACCTTTCCCTCCTTTGCTTCCTCAGTATCCTTCTGCCAAAAACCTGGGCTTGGGGGCTGCATGTGTTTGTCGTAATGTTAATTTCTGTCCTGTCTTTTAGCCTTGCCCTTCAACCTATTGCCTTCCTTCTTCTTTCTATGTGCTGGGAAGATTCCCCTGTTGGATTTCTGCCTGCTGTGAAGCCTGTCTGGCTAGCAAAGAAAAGGACAATAGTCACTTTTTTCGGGAGCTCTGTGGTTGGGTACAGGAGATATTGCTTGAGGCTCTCCTACTTACTGGTGAGGGAAATGCACTCTGCACAAGTTCGCAGGCACTCCTGATTTCTAAATACCTGGAGATAAATCCTGGCATCACAGAAATAATAATATTCATATGTTTGTTCATTCGTCTATAAAATGTACTCCCCACCTTCCAGTATGAAGAAATCCCGAAGTAGAGTGCAAACCTGCAAAAATACAGTAAAATTATGCAACGCAATAAGGTGATAAAATAAATAAGCCGATTTGTCATTTCAGTGTCACTCGTATCCTTATTTTATCCCACATGCCTCTGTACATCCAGTCCCCGCCCACCCTGATCAACAAAAACGGTGGAAATGACAAAGTTGCCAGCCCACAAAGCCACTTCCTCTTATGTATATAACCGTTAGCTCTTCAAGATTTCTCCTGTCACCACCACCTTGGTTTCATTCACTCCTTCCTGTTCCGTCAAGCGAAAAACTGAGGAGGAGGCAGTGGCGGCAAAGAAGGGCAGTCTGGAGAAAAGAGTAGCAGGGAAGCCATCTAGGAAAAGGTAGAATGGGGTGGAGTGCAGGCCTGGGGACACCTTGCCGGGCTGTGGGAACACCGTGGCACGTATGCGGGAATGAGGCAGCAGTACAGGAACACAGGGCACATCTGCCGGACAGAGAGGCATGCTGATACGGACCATGCAGCTGCTAATGATTATGTATTGATGGGCTTTTCATCCTTCCCTTTCTCCAGGGAACTCAATGTGGCGTGGGTGACCTCCACCGCATCCTCACAACAATCCTGCAAGGTAGGTGATGTTGAAAGAAAGTTAGTGAGAGTGAGCTATCCAGCCAGCCTCACAGCTGAGTAGGGATTTGATCTCAAGGCTGACTCAAGCTCTTGAGACACTGCCACTAATTTTCCCTAAGTCAGTTCCCTCCGGCTGGGAAAGGTGGCAGCTCCCATCATCCGCAGCTAGCCTGGCTGTGCTGGGTTGAGGATGATGGGGTTTGTACTCCAATGTGGCTAGAGAGGGCAGGGATGGGGAAGGCTGCGTTGTAGTGTAGAGGAATTAAGGCACAATGTGGCTGGAAGAGCAGAGGTTGGACACCTGCTTCACACGGCAGTGCAAATAATAAATACATGAAAGCAGGAACTGGATTCTTGAATGCGTTGTCTGAGCAAGCAAAGCGGCACCTGGGCTCTCTTTCAAGCAGTAAAGTGTCTTGGGCTGGCACCACGTTGTCGAGAGATGACATGTGGAATAGCCACGTTTTGTGGCAGGCAAAGCTTCTGTGCTTTCCACAGATAGGTGCTGGGTAGAAATTCGACAGATGCAGCATGCTTTTGTGCTGGCGGAGTGGTGGCTTGTGTGGGGGCAGAATGGGGCTTGCACCTGCTGAATTTCTAGAGCTCATGCCACTGCTAAGGGCACAGGGGCCCTGTGAGAGTGAACCAGGCAACTCTAAGTGGCCATAACAGGACGGTGATGGTTCCCGGTTCCATTCGTCTCTGCCCACACGACCTTCTTTCCCCGTCTTTGGCTGCTCTTAATGCAGCCTCCAGTTTACAGCAACATTATTTTACATACGCACACATTACGGGGGAAAGCTTTTCTGCTTGGCATGGCTCCTGTGACTGGAGCAGACGGATGCCACGTTTTTCTGTAATGGATTCTGACTAGCTTTCCTAACATCTTCCTTGCTCACAGACAGCACGTGCTCCACACACCTGGATATTTAGTGCCTCTTTGCTCAGCAACTCACTATTTTCAAGCCAGAGAAACTAAGCCAACGTGCCGCTCCCAAGATCCCTCGTTCCCATCTCTGCCAAGATGCACAACTGGAGAGTGTGTCTTTTAGCTACCCTTCTCATGCAGCACTCCATACGGGAACTCAAACGTGGCTCAAAGAGGCAGAAAGGCAGGATATAAATGCAATATGAGAATTAAGAATAATCACAATAACAACAACTCTTTTCTGCATGGCTTAGGAAAGGCACAAAGAGCATAGGCCTCTTTGGGAAGTGCCCCCTGAGGTGCTGTTTTGGACATTTATTTATTTAAAACATTTCTATGCTGCCCCCATCGCAACAAAGCCTCGGGGCGGCTCACAAAGAATACATAAAAACATACCTAAATAATAATAATAATATAACAATTAAAAAAACATTTAACACCCCCCCCGGTGCATTCTCGGCTAAAAATTTTAAAATCCTAATTCATTCAATAATTTAAGAATTAAAATAAGTTTTAAATAAAAAGGTCTTGGCCTGGCGCCGAAAAACAAATAACGACGGCGCCAGGCGGGCCTCTCTGGGGAGCGCACTCCATAGATGGGGCGCCACCGCAGAGAAGGCCCTCCTCCGGGACATCTGGGGCGTATGTCCTTTCAGGGATCTTGCTTATTCTGCTGACTCAGGGCTGGCCCTGCGATGCAGCGGCATGAAACAAGCCGCTTTGGGTGGCAGCACAAGGGCAGGGGCAGCTTGCCGGGAGTCGATGAAGGCAGGAGTTGTGGTTGCACGGTACAGCAAGCCGCTTGAGGGCAAGTCCTGCGAGGGTGCGGAGGGGTCTACGGTGCAGCCTTGGGCTGGCACAGGCATGACAATTCTGTTTCTGTTTGTTTGAAATGTTTCTACCCCTTTAAATTACCGAGATGGGAGAGAAACACTGGAAGAGAAGAGGCAGGCCGTTGTGGGGTGAGGAAGCAGCCCTTTCCTCCAGTCCACCTACCTCAGCTACTATCTTGTCCCCTGCTTTCGGAATTCCCTCTGTGCACAGTCATTTGCCACCAAAGAGCCTCCTTCAGCTTGTTTATATTGTGCTTCTTTCATTATTCGCCTCAACTTAGCTTTTTCTTTTGAAAGTAGTCAGGTTAGAGCTGTAATAAACAGAACAAATAAAAAGCGTGAAAGCAGCAGCATTTTCCTGAAAGGGTCAGTAAACAAGCAAATAAAGTTGTACTGCAAATGGATTTAGAGTCAGGCCAGGATACCTAAATGACTATTTCTCTCATATTCAGAACGTCTCTTCTGTCCTGTCTGGGGTGGGGAAGGGTGGCTTACTCTGCCCTTTCTCACTGGCTTGCTGCTGGGCACATTTGTGTGGATTTGGTAACTCATGGTAGGCTGCTTGATACATGAACCACCCACAGTGAACGCATCACCTTCTGGAAAAGGGGCGGGGGGGGGAGAGAGAGAAAAGAACAAGGGGCTATGAAAGGGGTGGCAATGCCTCCTTCTTAGAAAAAGATTCCCCACACCTCTGGTTTTTCTTGCTCGCTCACCTTCTGTGAACTGGTGAGAGGAACCAAAATGAGAGATGGACTTGGAGCCCCTACTGGTACAAAGTCCAGGGTCACTATTTTGCCCCTTAGTAGCTATGTTGCTGTAAAAGACTGAAGTTGTGCAATTTAAAAGTTTGCCTTTTAAAAAAAGCAAATAACTTTGAAATGTTTCCACACACAATCTTATGTGTAAATACTGGGCAGCCTGTCCAAGATGCTGCTGGGGCACTTTGAAACTGTCTGTAGCTGTCAGAACTGGAATGACAAATTCCATTTTGACAGCCGGCTGTCACAATCTCAAAGAAAAAAGCTTTTAAAAAAGGTGTGGCTCACCCAGAATAAATTATAACAGTGACTGGGATGGGGAAGCTAGTGCCAGCTGCCCAACAAGCATGGGCTGCTTCAGATCTTTGGGGACAGATGTCAGGCTGATCCTTAGAATCGCCCATGGGGAGTTGGTGGGGGGTCTTGCTTGCATGCACAGGCCACCAGGGGGAAACTGATTTGAGTCTGCTTCACACAAAAACCCGTTGTGGGTGACAACCCATGACGGATTTTCATGTCATGCATACCTGATCACTGACTCACCTTCTGGAAGTTGTTTAGTCTTCAAATTGATTACCTTAGCTGGGGTACCTATGAAAACACACGCGCACACACAATTTTTATAAAAATTTCTGTTTTGTGCTGGATTGACTGTGATGACAAAAGTAGACTTCCCCACTCCCTCCTTTCTACTGCAGCCCTCCAGCCTAAAAATGTTAGGGAGTTAGGCAATTCTGAAGGGGATGAACCATGGTGTTTGGGAACTCCCAAAATCAGGGGGAAACCTCCTTCTTGAAGACCATCTTTTTTCCTTCATGGAATGTAGTTCCTGGAGCCAACCCATAAAGCCACGAACCTTTAAATCCTTAAATCTGCTCACTGTTAGGACTGGATCCAGGCTTAGTCATACTTAAGAGTAGACCTCACTGAACAGTAAGTCCAACAAAATCAGTGGGAGTTAGGTTAGTCTAAGCTTAATCCCATTGACTAAATCTTGTTTTAACACAGAACCTTTTAATTGGTAGATTCCTTTTTGGTGGTGGTGGTTTTAAAGTTTTGTAATAAACCCCCTTGACTTTCTAACACAAAAATGTGCTTGTATATTTATTTAAGGTTTTTATATACTGTTCTGTCACTGCATTGCCCTCATCATGGTTTTAACATAAAAAGTTTTAGTGTTTTAAACTTAGTGTTTTAACCCCCCCCCCCAAATGCAAATAATGCAAAGTGTCTCAATAAAGGAATGGACTAACCTCCAGTTTTTCAGAAAAGAAACAAGGGACGCTGTAATTTCACTTTTTTGAAGTAAAAACTGTTCCCAGGTGCCCACACCTTCATGCAGAGGCACTAACAACAAAAATACACAGTGCTTCTGCTTTGGAAGATATGACTTATAGAAAGCCAGATGAGAAAGTTGTTCCCAGAAAATATTAGAATAATCTGTTTTTCTCCCACCTGTTCTATCTTCCATCAAAGTGTTTTGCAAGAGGAAGATATGCGGGCGGGACGGGGACAAGAAAAAACGACACCATTTCAGTTTCTCTTTCCTTGAGTTCTTCCCCAAAGTCTTGACCATAAGCTCTCAGGAACTCCCTGATCCTCAGACACCCACACCCCAAACTCATGGGTCAGCTTTCAACTCATCCTCCTGGGGCTTTCCTCTAGCATTTGCTGGACAGCTTTGGCCAAGTTGATGTCCTACAGAGCTCTTGGGCCATAGCTCCTATCATCCCCAGCCAGCATGCTTCGAATTGCTGTCCCAAACAGTGAGAGGGCATCCACGCAGGGCATTCTGCTGCGCACCAGGCAGAGCAATTTTCTTTGCAGGCAGCCTTTCCTCCTCCTCCATGTAGCAGAGAAATCATTTCTTCCGCCTCCTTTCTGCCACACCTACTTGGCCTTGTGCTTTTGGAAAGTTATCTGTCATACGGTTTTCTTTCTCATTTCTCACAATTTATTCTGATATCTACAGGGTATCTTCTTTCCTCTTGTGAGGAACCCAAGCCAGCTTGCATGCCCTTCCTCCTCCTCGCCTGCATTTCCTCCTCGCCACCAGTGAGGGAGGCTAAAGTCACCCATGGCCAGAATGGGGACAAGAGCCCAGAACTCTGGAGTCCCAGCCTAGCACTTCAACAACTACAACACACAGGCCTTCACGTTTTCCGGCCGAGTCCCCTTTTTAAGGCACCGATGGTGCTGGGTGCCTTCAGATGTGCTTTTCCTTTTGCAGTGGCCTGGCCTTGTTATCGGCTTTTTGGAGGGGTTCCGGATGAGGTTGTCTGCCAGCTGGACTCAGTTAAGCAGGGGGAGAGACAGCAGGTAGACAATGTCCTTGGGCTAGTAGTCCTCTAGGACAGAGGACTTCAGCATCCTTCAGCCAGACTTCAATTTCAGAGATGCTCTGAGGGGACGAGGGGCACATGCTTGCAGTGGGCAGAGCAGAAGACAAAAGGCACAGGACCGTCAGTGCCACAAACATTTTAAGTTGAAGCTCTTACTGCCATAATTAAGCCTCAGGAAAGGCATTTGCATCTTTGACAATTGGGTGGGGACTGTGATGGGCTGGATGTGGCCCTGCTGGGCTGGATGTGGCCTGTGGGTGTGAGGTTCAGCACCCTGAAGCATTCAGGACATTCCATGCATGGACAAAATGAATCCACGAGGGAGAATGGTCTAGGGTATTTCTTCCCAGGGATGCTCCTTTTCATTTGCACATTTCTCTCACACAGAACCAAAAAAATTACAGCTATGAAATTCCTTCAGCTAAGAAATTGCAGAAGTCATATACAAACACAACATGCTCTGAGAGGGAAGAGGAAGTGGCGTGGAAATGAGTGCAATTAGCAAGCTGTTAGCAAGAAAGCTGAAATAGGAACAGAGTGGGCTAGCCTAACGCAAGTGGACTCAGAGCAGTCTTTTTACATGGAAACTACTCTGAATTTCCCCAAAGCGAAGCAAAGCAGACTCTAAGCAGAGAAAGGGAAATATAAAAATTAATATTTCTGACAAGGGATGCAATTGTGGGGCCGAGCTTATGTCCAGTTCTGTCAGCTGCTAGCACTAGTCCCAGAGCTTCCCACCAATCCCAGGGAACTGTCAGGTGTGGGAGGTAAACAATTCCATTTGTTTGTTTGTTTGTTTGTGACACTCAGATGCTTCTCCATAGCCCAGGGTATCTTCTTTAGACCTGGAACAAACCCGTAAGCCCTGCTGCAAATATGCCAGGCACTGTGGGTTGCCTGGGGTATAATGCACAGGATACCCACGTGATACATCAGGATCGGTGTAGTTGGTTCTCTCATGCTTTCCCCAGTATTCACAGGACAACCCACAAGGCTGATTACCCCTGCTGGGATCCCGTGCTGTGTTGGGTGAACTCAGTCACTGACCTTGCGCTGGCCAAGTAAACATGTAGTTGCAGTGACGGGAAAAAGGAAGAGGAGGGAAAACAGCTGATAACCGTGGCAGTGAAATAGTAGGCTGGAGGTCAGAGCCGAAGGAGGGCTGGTTGCCTAGGGGACCTCAGAAACCTGGAACCAGCACTGCCTGACCTACTCGGATGAACTGTGGCTCTCCAAGGTCTCTTACCAACCTTCTCCCTGAAATCTTTAAAAACAACCAGACCCTGAACCACGTGAAGGTGGGACCTTTTGCATGCAAACCATGCACCTTTCTCCTGACCCATACAAACAGGCAGTTCAGTAATAAAGGAAACATTCTTGGCCATCTTCCCAAAGAGACACCCTCTGTGTTGACTGAGGATGGTGGAAGTTTTAGCCCAACAAACCAGGATAGCATGCGCTTTGTGAAGGCTGGTCAGTGATGTGGCTGAATGAAAACTGAATCATGGAATCACATACACCAGAATCATGGAATCACGTACACCAGAGCTTCCCCCCAACCTTCTCCTTTGTCTTTCTTAGCTACTGGATCATTCCTCTGTCTCTGACAGACCACCTTGAGCCCCCTTTGGCTCATTCCTCTCCCTGATCCTTTTTTTCTTTTAACCTGTTAAACGCTTTGGTTAGAGTACGATTTTGACAGATCAGTGGAGTAGGAGATGTGTTTGGTGGTGTGCTCCTCACAGCTACTATTCCTGTCCCATGAAACTACTCCTGGCATGGAACTTTAGTCTTATATGTTGACCCATGTCTTCCTTGCACAGCCATCTTGGTATCAGGCACACAATTCCACCCTTGTAGATCATCACACAGCCTCCTAATTATTTATTTATTTATTTATTTATTTATTAAAACATTTTTATGCCGCCCCATTCGCTGAAGCCTCGGGGCGGCTCACATCAATAAATTAAAATAATTATAATATAAATTAAAATATAAATATAAAATTAAAATACAACAGTACAGTATAAAATAAGCCGCCCTGGCCAGATAAAACCAATAATGTTAACAGTTAAAATGCCGCTTGAATAAAAAGGTCTTCGCCTGGCGCCGAAAAACAAATAACGACGGTGCCAGGCGGACCTCTCTGGGGAGCGCGTTCCATAACTAATCTTTCCCTCCTCCCCTGCATCTTGCTCCGATCATTTCAAGGCAGCTAGCAACAGATTCTATCCATATAAATTAGCACGTGCACATTGATGGTCATGTCTCCCAGCTTGGCAATCTAAAGCCCCTTCAGATACCCTCCTCTGACCCCAACCTGGAGATCTGCCTTTATGCTTTAGAAAAGATAATGAACGATTGGATCACAAAGCATATACAATATTTATGTAAATCCACAATCCCCTTTTTTCAGTTTTTAAAGAATATTTTTCAGGTGCTGGGGCCAGCAGAAACTGTATACTGCCCACCCCTGGAATAAGTGCACCTTTCAAAAATAATTCAAATAAAAATACAATATATTTCTTCAAAGTCAGGAAGCCTGAGAGTAAGTGGGCTTGCTCAGCCTCCTGTCCTGGCACCAGCTGTGGATGGGCAACCTTTCCTGGTCATGGTCCTTTACCTTTACATTCAGCATAGACCAAATGGCCCTTGAGAGGTGCCTTCAAATGCAGGAATGTCCTGTGACAGTCCTTAGGCACTGGGTGTGCTAATCACCCCCCCCCCCCACACACACACACACTGAAATAGTACTAACCTGTTTTAAACTGTGTATATTGGGCTGTTGTGCTTTATTTTATTGTGTGTGCATCTGTATTGTCATTCATTTTTACTACTGTACCTATGTTTATTAATTGTTGTGAATCACCCAGACAGTTTCAACTGCCAGATGGTGTAGAAATGAAATTAATAATAATAATAATAATAATAATAATAATAATAATAATAATGACTTCCTCCACTTTCTTCTCAGATTGCTTTTGGCCGTTTCCCCACACCCTGCTAACCAAAAGAGCCCACAACTTCAGAATTCTGTTCTGCCACCATGGAAACCTTAAGATCTCTTCTCTGGCAATGCATCTCCTTGAGCTTCCTTATCCTTTTTATCCTGGGTATCACTTTAGGCGAAAACAGTACGCAAGCTCATAGCAGTACACATAGCACAATATCTACCGTTGCCGCTGAGCACAAAGGAACACTGCCCAGCACAGACACCACAAGGAACTGGACTCTAAACATTACAACATCGCCTCCAAACGAGCATCATAATCTCTCAGCCGTTAAGCTCACAGAGGGTACTCCTGCAGCAACTTCGGAAAGACTCCTGGATTTCACAAGCCATGAAACTTCAAAAGAGCCCCCAGTGACCAAACCTGCAGTCTCACACCAGAAAATCATTCAAGCAATCACTTCGATGACTCCCTTTCACAGCAGTGCTGCAGCTGCAACTGCAACTACCCAGGTTCCAAAGGAGAGCACCTGGTCTGACAAAGAGAGCACTACTGCCCCCATCTTTGTAACACATCCCTCTGAAATGAAGAGCTCTGCTGGAAAAACCACGCCGAGCACTTTCTCTGATCTGCGAAGCCACACTGAAGGCAGAACGAGTGTCCTGATCACTCAGGCTCCTGTGCCTGACGTGACTCCCTCTAAGGAAAACCGCACAGGCCAGACTGAGGAGGAAAAGGGCCCATCAAGACGCCACCAAAACAATCATCCCACAGTAAAGAGTACCAGCAGCCCCAATTTCTGGCACGCAGTCCTGACAGTACAAGCCACCGCAAGCCCCCCCACAAAGGTCAATATTGGAATAATCTTGTTCATTGTCTGTGTTCTCCTGGTGATTCCAGTCATCCTGGTCGTCTTGTATGTCAGGCGCCGGCGCCGGTCCGGCTCCACCAGCATCTCATCATGGTCAGGGCCGGCCCAGGTAGCTGATGCCACAGCTTTAGATGGAGATGCAGAGCAAGGGGAAGAGAAAGCTGGGGAAGGGGAGACAAGACGCAGTATGCCGCTCAGCTCCTTCGGCGAACGTCAGTCGAGGGTGTCCTCCACACCCATGGAAGACATGAAAGGGAAAGGGGAGAGGGAAGAGGTCCAGCAACTGCTTAAGACAGGTGCTGGTGGAGGGGCCAACCTGGAGGGACCTGAGGAAGCCAATGGCAACCTTGGAGAGCCCCCCATGCCCTCCTCTGGGGAGGCCTCCACCAGCAAAGCAGGAGGAGGGGCCTCCATCTAATCTGCCAGGAAAGGCCACACCCACTTCTTAGGCTCCTCCCACAGTAAAATGCTGCTGTGGCCGCTGCTGCTCCCTGCTTATCTTCAGCCTTGTCCCTTGGTCCATTGTGTGTGGATGGAAGAGTGAAAGAGATGCAGCCTTGCCCCTCCATCGTTCAGAAATGTCTCACCACATCCTTTTTCCTGTTTATATGATGGAGATGAGAACTAGGGAGACATGCCGGACTTTCCAGACATCTTCAGTTTAGATTTGCCAAACCTCATTTTTCTTCTAGAGGTTTAAGAGTTTGATTTAAGCCTGAGTTTTTGGTATGGGTCTGTTTTTGGAGAGTGGGGCAGATATTGAAGACTGTGTGTATATATAGGGAGAGGCAGGGAGAAAGCCTAGGCCCCTGGAAAGAAAGGATTAGCAGTGAAATAGCCATCTGTTTGTAGCAGAGATGTTTTCAGAAAGAGCGAGAATTAACTAATGTTCTCTTTTGAAATTTTGTGGGGAATATTGACACATATGCATGAGACTAAAATAACGTCTTTTCTACTAATTCAAAATTTAATCATGCCACCCCACGCAGTCCTTATCCTTATATCCTCCTTCATTCAAAAAGTTCCCCTCCGAATGGCCTAGACCAAAATTCCCATGTCTCCCAGCCAGTGAAGCTGATGATGCGTGGTATGGTCCAGACTACCTGCGAGACACCTGGTGGGAAGTGTGTTCTACCTCCAGGTCTTTCCTGGACATGTGTGAACCTTGGCAGCAAAACAAATGTACACTTTTCCACTTTCCAGGCACACTTTTTCTATTTAATTCATGTATCTTTTGAATCATGCAGTCATGTTTAGACTTCTGCATCGTATGATAAATACATGTTTTCAAGCAGCTGGTCCCTTTCTTTTTCTGACTAAAGGAGCTTTTGAAGAATATAGGGGCGGAACAAGCCATAAAACAAAGTAAGCTTTATTTAGGAAACCATAACATAGCATTTTAGCTAGTATTTTGTTTTTGCTTCATACTTTAAATGCTGGCTGTGCCCTCAATAGAGGACATATCAGAAAGCTTTGCAGGTTTGGCTAGTTAATTTTGTTAGGCTACTTGTGTTCTTCCCCCTTAGGGGAACATTCCTTGATCCTCAATGATCCTCATAATCCCATGTGAGATCTAACCAATCACAATTTATCCAGTTATCAACTTGATGACTAATGTAGAAGTGAATCACATGCAGAGAGACAGAAATTACAGTGCAACCCTTCCCATGCCTATGCAGAATTAAGTCCCTCTGAGTTCTATTCCTAGGTAGGTTCATACAGCATCGCTGCAAGAGGGAGATTAGCTGAAGTCGTCTTAGCCACATTTCCAGGAGCTATCCTAATTTCACAATGAGACCAGCTAAGGGGACTATTGGCCAGCATACCTTTCTGGATCACCATTTCATTTAGGCACCAAAGTGCAATTTCAGGAGTTAGATTTGTTTGGAGGCTGTTACCCTGAATATGTATTGATCAGTCCTTTGTATGAATTATCAAGAGGACTAGAGGGTTAGGTGTAAGTCTGTTATCTGTTGGTTGGAGATACTGATCCATTTTAAAAAGCATGCAATTATGGCATTAGTTTGAAGAGGCTTACAATAAAGACTAATGATTTACTATAGCATAACCTTTTGTTGATTACAGTCCACCTAATCACAAGCATGTGCGGAATCATGGGCTTTAATCCACAAAAAATGTGCCATAATATCTCCATTAGACTTTAAGGTAGAGGTTTCCCCTTGACATTAAGTCCAGTCATGCCTGACTCTAGGGGGCGGTGCTCATCTCTGTTTCCTAGCTGAGGGAGCCAGCGTTTGTCCGCAGACAGTCTCCATGGTCATGTGGCTGGCATGACTAAACACCGAAGTGCACAGAATGCTGTTACCTGCCCACCGAAATGGTACCTTTTTATCTACTTGCATTTGCATGCTTTTGAACTGCAAGGTTGGCAGAGCTGGGACAGAGTACGGGAGCTCACCCCATTGTGCTGATTCGAACCGGTGACCTTTCGACCAACCAGCCCAGCAGCACAGCGGTTTAAACCACTGCCCCACCTGCAGTCCCCCATTAGACTTTAAGATGCTGCAAGACTTTGCATTTTCCTGCTGGAATCAAGAGGTGCTAATGAATACTAATGAATACCAATGTGTGATCATCTTGTAAATAAGTACTAAAGGAATATTTATTTGTATACACCCAAACTGAATTGTCATGGCTTTCTCTAAGACTGGGGGTGGGAGGGACTTGTAGTCCTCCAGATGTTTTGTCCTACAACTCCCTCACATTGGCTTAAGTTGATGAGCATTGTAGGGCCCAAACATCTGGAGGACAACACGCTGCTCACCCCTGCTCTAAAATGATGCTTACTACAGTTTCTTGAAGAGGCTCAATCACTGAAAGAGCATTTTAGCATCCTCACAAAATTGTAGGTACCAAAGTTCCTTGGGGAGGGAGGTCCAGGCTGTTATTCTGGTCTTGCTCCCATTTCGTTTTTCATTCCAAGGGCACCCTCAGATCAAAGCCCATCACAATGTTTTCCTACACAAGCTCCATCAGGAGCCCTGCCAGACCTCATGTGCTGTTTGCATGCATGCATTTTGCTTTCATCCAACTTCTTGATAACACTGTTTAGAATGCCTTATATATTCTACTGCTGTTCTGTTCAGTTTTGTCCATTTTGGGGGAGTAGAGATTTAATTGTTTGCATACAAGAGTTGGTATATTAATAAAAAAACCCTTGAATTTATTTTTGGAGTCTGGTATATGAATGTTGGAATCCACTCTGTCCATCAGTTCTAATAAGGTATATTTATCTTTTTTCAAACCTGGACTATAGCTGTGGAATGGAGTAGGATGGGGCATGAAGGACCTAACCAGTCTGAAATTTTTTCTAGGCTAGCCATCCCTAAACTGGTAACCTCCAATTGTTTTAGGCTTCAACTCCTATCTGCCCCAGCCAGCATGGCCAATGGTGAGGAATTTTGAGGACTGTCATCAAAAGCTTCTGGAGGATACCAGGTTGAGGAAGGGTATTTCCTGAATTCAAAAAGCACAGAGATCCATAGGCCCTCTGGGTCATTAGGCACATTTGAAATGCTGGGAGTGTAGCATTGGCACTCTCACAAAATGGCTGCCATGGCCAGGGGGTTGTCTGTGCAAAAAATGGTTGAAGGGGCTGAAAGTCTGTGACTGGCCTAAAGTCACCCTGTAAGCTTCATGACCACGTGAAGACTAGAACCGAGATCCCTCGTTTCCAGCGCAACACTCAAACCACACCACATTGGCTCTCAGACTTACAGACTTTGGCTGGATTCAAACATAACATTAAACCATGGTGGAAACCACCCTGGCATGGTTTGTCATGTTGTGTGAACCTAACCAGAGTGGTTCTGCATGGTAAGGATGGTCCCTGTGTAAACACGGAGAGAAACGACAGTCTACTCCATGGCTTGTTTGACTGTGTGAACCCAGAAACAATAATTCTGCATGGTTTCCAACTGCTGTTCTGTGGAATGAACTGCTGCTGTTGGAGGAGATGCTTCTCCCTCCATTCATCCCCTGCTATCTCGATCTGCCTAGCCTCAGAAGTGTCAGCCCCAGCAGCACTCCAGTGGGTTGTTCCACACTCTCTTTTGCCTCTGCCTTCATGCTGCCTTCCAGATTCCCACCTGTGGCTCTGGGATGTCTCTGGCAGCAGAGAAGCACCCTGTGCTGCCTCCAGCAGCTGCAACCTTGCAGACTGCTGTGTTTGGCGCTCCTCTCTGGTTAATGCAGCTTAAATGAGCACCACTTGCGAGCTGCTCAGCCTTTGCTTTTCTGGAGGAAAGGAGCAACAGGAGCAGATGGGGTGCATGCCATGCCAAGCCCACGTCCCCTGTTCCAGCTTCCCCCCCTTTCCCGCTCCCATTGTGTCCCTGGCATTCCTTGGGGCTGTCAATGATGCTTGCTGTCACCTCCCCCACCCTCTGAACCCCCCAACACCTACTGCTGCCAGGCATGAAGAGTGGGTGGCAAAATTTCCCAGTGGATCTGGGAAAACGACCCATGGAAGCTCTGCCAGTAGAGTCTCCACCCCAGCATGCATGCCGGCCTCCTTCCCAGCAGGAGCCATGCTAGAGTGCCCCTCTGGGCCTCCTGCCCACAGAACAAAGAGCTGTGCGGGTGGCGGATGGGGCCGTGGGGCTGATGACTTTCCCTCCTGCAGCCCCATGAGCAGCTCTCAGTGCCCCAAACACATTGCCGCAGTGGGCCACACACGGAGATCTGTAGGCGTTTGTCTGTGCCGTTAGGGGTGGGCAGTGACAGGCACAGGAAACGGCAGTGGCCGGATGCATGCTGGTGTGGGGAGGGGTGGGGAGGGGTGGGGAGCTGCGGCAATACGTGGGTGCAGCAGTAGGGCAGTGGAGAAGAGACCACCAGGCTTATCACCACCTGCTATGCTTTTCTCTCTGGCACAGCCATGCCTTCCCTGCGCCCGAGCCCCGTGATGCTGCAGAAATGAAGGCACGTTTTGCAACAGAGGTGTGGTTCTTGTGGCCAGGGCCGGCAGCCGCAATGGGCAGAGAGGGGTGAGGAGCAGCATCAGAAGAGGCCTGCAAGGTCCTCCGGAGGTGCTCACCCTGTGCCTGGCTGCAGGGGGAAGGCAGCACATGGGGAGCCTGCGTGGCACGTCTCCAGCAGCGCAGGGGTGGGGAGGATGGGGGCATGTGGGGGTGCTTGGATGTTGGCATGGCGTGTGGCGGCGCAGAGGAGAGCTGCTCGAGAGCACCAGGAAAAGTAAAAAGGAGAAAAACAGAAGCAGCCGGCTGGGGACATGCCCAGAGAGCATGTAGACCAATGAGAGGGAGGTGGCAGTGTAGGCTGGAGCAGTGCACCCTGGGACGGATTTTCAGCCATGGGGTCTTATGGGATACCTGCTGCAATCAATTCATCGTTGATATTGTGGTTTTATTTGCTTTAATTGAGTTTAGTTGTGCTATTTATGATGTTTAATGTTGCTTTTTTATTATGTAAACTGTCTAGAGAGCCATGTGGCTATGAGATAGTATACAAAAGTGCTAAATAAATAAGGAAGGAAGGAAGGTAGACTGGTGGAGGAGAGTGGAAATCATGCAAGCATGGAAACGGCGGCAAGCCTCTGGCATTAACAATGGTTGGCAGTTCGGCAGGAGGCGCTGTGGCGGCATGAGGAGAGCTGACGGGATGTGATGTTATCGTGAGAGGAACCCGCAGTGTTTTCTTGGCTTCATCTCTAGGCTGAGGCGTAATTAACCTGCCCTCAGCTTGTTTGTCTTGTTAGCTATGCTGTCACTCGCTCTGAGGCAAACTGGCAATACAGACTCAGCAAATGAACAAAGTCTTCCGTGCCCCCGAGCACAGGTGCTGGCACAGATGTGAAAAATTAATTAATAGCAGCTCTTCATCCCAAAGAAAATTAAGATAGTGTGGGGGACACTGGAATTACTTAATCTCTCCTTGTTGTGCTGAATCAAGAGGGCTTACTGGAGGCTGTGGCCGGGCCTCTTGGCTCCTCAGCAGTGGATACTGGTGGTTCATGGAGGAGAAGAGCTGGTCCTGGATAGGGCTCCTCAACAAATCCAATCTCAGATCGCCACTCCTCATTTTCTGCACATTGTAGAGGCCTCATCCTGAGGTTGGAACAAAACCGGGTATGGTGGCCATTACACCCTCTGCCGGTGCCCTCTGGCAAGGCCTGGATTTCCACTGGGGCAGCACTTACATCCAGTGCTCAAAATGGGCTCAAAAAGCCAATTAAGTAAACGACACAAATGTGTGCGAAGAATGGAAGTGGACAGCACTTCTTCTTTGTGCGGTTCCATCGGAACTGGATTGAAAAGGTGTCGGGCATCTCCTCCACCATTAATTCCAGATCTTCAGTGGGATGGGAGTGTTGGTCATCTGGGCTTCTCCGCAAGTTATTGGTGAAGAAATGACTTGAGGAACACATTCCCTGATAAGAGGCATTCATGATGTGAGCTGGCATTTGTGGGATCCATGACACAGAATCCTCAAGGGGGAGCGCCCCCATCTGCTAGTGGGCTCTCCCTCAGCTAATGGGGGTTCCCCATTGGTCAAGCAAGTTAGCACTGCTCAAAAGCATTGCACTGAAATGATACCATTGCTTTTGTTTTGCTTACTTGTTTTCACATCTTTAAAGTAATGTCAAATAAAAACATCCCCAGCATTATGCTTATCACCAGAAAAGGCAAAAAATGCAAGCAAAATCAATCTGGCCCCACACAGATTCTGAAGCAGTTGGGAGAGTACTGAGTGTGAGGATCCACTCCCTTAACCTCAGCAGCTCCCCAACTCTGCCCTCTCATGCCAGTGGTTATCCTATATTTCAGCTGTACTGAGGACTAGTTCCAGGTTTGCTGAAATTTTCTGATTTTGTTCTGGACTTTCACATCTCTAGTCTGGTCCAAGGGCCCTTAAAAACCAAGAATTAGCACTGGTCATTCAACAAGTTATCTAAAACAAAGAACAAGAATTCTGGACTATGCCTCCATGAAGGGATTGGCCTGCCTGAATTCTCTTCCACCCCCCTGCAAAAGATGCTCTGGCTTTGAAACAGGTTTCTATTTGCCTCTGCATAACCAAGGAATGCTAAATGAGCACTGAGCTTTTATTGCGGGGAAAGATGCTTATTGCTTTCAGGGGATGCCCTTTCACTTTCAATTCTATCTCCTGAAGTTGCTCGTGTTTGCACTTTATTAAATCCACGTACTTGGATGAACCTAAATGCAGAGTGATATTCCTTTTCTCCAACACCTCTGAAAATAAGAACAGCTTTCTAGCAGATAGAAAATTAAGAAGTGGGGAAACAAAATTAGGCCAGGACCTTTCACACCGAGACATAGATTTCTGTGTGGAGCTATGTTTATTTCTTTGTATTAGCCTTTCCCAGCCTTGGGTTCTCAGGATGATGCACTACAACCCCCAGCATCCTTGGCCATGTCAGCCAGGGATTCTGGGAGTTATGGTACAACAACCTCTGGGGACTCAAGAAAGGGAATGTTTGTTCAGATGAGCCTCATTTTCCCAGCTCCTCACAGCCCATGATTGTTGTTGCCCTCGTTGCCGCCCTCTACATCCGCTCGGCGAGCGCAGTCTTCAGGCGGCGTCTCCTCAGCACACGCGTCTTCCCCGCCTCGCTGGTCCTCTGCACCACACATCTGGCGGCACTTTCTGTTCCAGCAGAATCGCAGGTTGAAATAGCCGCTGCAGGCGATGATGAAGAGGATGGAGGTGAAGGCCAGCCCCCACAGCGCCACCCGCTTCTCGGCCCTTGCTTTCACTGTGCATTCAACAGATTGGGGGCAGCTGGCGGCCCCCGGCGAACACAGCCACGACTGCCCCCACAGCTTGGGCAGCTGGAGGAGGAGGATGGCACAGAGGAAACAGATCTCTATGGCCAGGAGCAGCGCCACCCAGATGTCGAAGAGGGGCACACCACAGATCTTCGAGATGGACATCTTGGCCTCCTCCTGGGGCCCAGCTGTGGTTTCCTTGTACCTGTCATGGTTGGACCCAGCACAGCTGCAGGGCCTGTGCTGGGGCTCACAGAGGGGGGCCTCACTGTCTCCTGGGTCACAGGTCTCTGCACATGTACAGGCTGCGTCACCGTGGCAACAGAATGCTGGCCCAGGGACCATGCTAGGCCCGGTCAGGACATTCTTCCCATCAGTGGGCCTGCAGTTAGCGTCCGTGGGCATCCACGGCTGG